AAAGGGAGCCTGAGGAAGTCCAAAAAATCCTCCGTGTGTTCTTTTCTGGACAGGTGAAATGGGACTGGAGTAATAATTGGCAGATGAGACGCAGAAGTGCTTTGGGTTAGGAACTGCTTTACGAAAGACAAGTAGAAAATGAAATATTTTTTTTTTTAAAAGTTAACTCAGTGGTCCATGCCCAAAGCCCCCGGTTTTTCCTTGTACGGTGCCCCAAATCTTCTTCCTCAAGAATCGTCACCTCCGTTTTAAACAGAAAGCCAAGCTGTTAGCCCTCACGGTTGGCAAATGCGCGCTGGCAAAGCACGGGGGTCATCTCCAGCGAACTCTGGAGGGGGTTAGGCAGAGACCTCCACAGACCCTTCAGTCGCCTTAACCCCCACAAACTAGAATTATGCGAATCCCAAAGAATAAGTTAGGCAGAGCTGCACGCGTGTTCGTCTTTACCGCGGTTACAGAACGCAGGCCTGTCCGTTTAAAAACAAAACCGAACCCAAAAGTTCCTGTCACGGCTCTCGTTACAAAGAACCGGGGCATCCCGTTTGGTAAGAGAGGGTCAGGGTCAGGCGACGGGGTAAGGTGCCCGCTGGAAACCTAACTGAGTTTATTTTTCCAGTGCTGTAAACCCCGGGAGGCAAACGGTTTGGAGAACAGCCCCCCAAATACTCTCCATTCAGGGCTGCGCTTCCCTGAAGGTTACACGGGCAGTTCCACGGTACTGAACCAACAAAAACGACATGAAAGCCAGACAGACGCAGATGCAAGAAAAACCGGGGAGACAGACGGAGACAGGCCGGTCAAGCGAGGCTCCTAAACAGAACGCCTATCCTCCGAGATGGACGGTCTTTTTCTCGCCTCGTCTGGGAGGGTCATTTTTCCAGCGGGAAACGCCGCTTGTCCGCAATTCCTGTTTTGGGAACACTCCAAAGGGTGCGGGCTGGAAGGAAGGCGTGTTCCCATTCAGCTCCATCTTTTACCCATTTAGGGGGCCATAAACTCAGCCACCAGGTTTATTGGAGCTGTCTGGGGGAGCAGATCGCTTGGGGTTCAGATGTTGGCAAAGAAGATTTGAGGAGCCATGCTGGATAAAACCAATAGTACAGGTAGTCCTCACTTAACAACTGTTTGTTTGGCGACCATTCGAAGTAACGATGGTGCTAAAAGGTGACTTACGACTGGTGTCCGAAGTCACGACTGTCGCAGCGCCCCTGCAGTCACGTGATCGTGATCTGGGCACTTGGCAGCCAGCTCACACTTACAACGGTTGCAGTGTCCCGGCTCATATGATCGCCATTTGTGACCTTCCCAGCCAGATTCTGGCAAGCAAAATCAATGGGGAACTGCGTGATTCACTTAACAACCGCCACAAAAAAGGTCGTAAAATCGGATCCAGTCATGTGATGATTCGCTTAATGACCGCAACGCTTAGCGACCTAAATTCCGGTCCCAGTTGTGATCATTATGCAAGGACTACCTGCATGTTGGTGGCAATTCCACCTTGCAACCTTTTGGGGTGACCCCTTCAGGACACTATTATGATAAAGACAAGATCTGCCCCTTCCGAATAGGAATCTTACAGCAGGTCCCGCTTGTCACTAGCGTGGTCTGAACGGTACACCTTTCTCTTGGGCTTCCAGACACATCTCCCCGACAGAGAAGGCTTTGCTGGTCCTTTTGTGAAACGGTTCCCCTCCGACCAGCAATGGCTCGGCGGAGAAGTCTTTCTTGGAACACTTTTTTAAATTGGAGATCTGGCCGTGTGCCAGATTGAACTGGAGATCTTCTTCTTCTGCCACCAACCCCACATACATCATTCTTTGCTTCTCGCAAGCAGAGAACACCAGGATGATGGATCGACCCACCAGCCAATGGATCAAATAAATTAAGGAGCAGGAAATAAAAAATACACAACTTTTAGCAAAATTGGAGGTAGAGCATTGGAGCCGAACTGGTCTCGCTTAGTCACTCAGGAAATGAGATGTTAAGACGATGCTTCGTCCTGCCCACGACCGTTAGTCCTGACTCCCCAGGGAGAGAATTATCTTTCTCATTCCTAGATACACTACTTGGCTTGTTTTACTTGGAGATGCTGGCAGTTCCACCTCAGAAGTTGGGTATGAAAAATGGGTCCACCCCAAGCTGAGCCCCCAGATTTGGGCTACGTACTTACTTCAGTTTCTCCAGGATCCTAGTGCAGAGGGCATGACATGGGGGTTGAAGGGGACTGCCTAAAAGTAGGGCCCAAGACCCAGAAAAGAGAGGGGCTCCCCTTTGTTGGATGTCTTCAAGCAGGGGCTGGACAGCCACCTGTAGAGACGCCTCCTTTGGATTCCTGCCCTGGGCAGGGGGTTGGACTAGATGGTCTCAAGAACCCCTTCTAGGATTCTGTGAATTTTGGAGCAGGTTTAAACAGCTGCATTTCCATTCCAAGAAATTCAGCTTTATTTCATCACAGGAACATGGGACCCTAGCAAGATGACCAAGTTGATGGGACTTGGAGTGGGGGGTGGGGGGAATGTTTGAAGAAATGGGCAATCCTTAAAATCACTAAATCGTAGAATGTCAGAATTGGAAGGGACCTTGGAGATCAACTAGCCTGGCCCCTGCCCAGGGCAGGCACCCAGGACTACACCATCCTGGACAGATGGCCATCCAACCTTGGTTTAAACACCCCCAGGGAAGGGGAACCCAACGTTTTGCAAGGCGGCCACTTCTATGGTTGAACAGTTCCTACTTTTAGGAATTTTTCTTGATGTCCATCTAAAATCCATCCCGAATTGCATTGCTTGAGTTGGATGACCTTATGAATCTTGAAAATCAGTCAGTCAGTCAGTCAGTCAGTCAGTCAGTCAGTCAGTCAGTCAGTCAGTCAGTCTCCTTCCTTGTGATTTCAACCCTTTGCTTCTTGCCTTCTGGTACAACCCTAAACACTCCTGTCCCACCTTCTACACAACGACCCTCCAGAAACTGCCCAGAGGCAGCGGCCATCTCTTCTCTTCTCTTCTCTTCTCTAGCACCCCCATCAGCTCCAACAATTCCTCCGTCACTTTTCCTTCCAAACCCCCCGCCATATTGCTCGCTCTCCGGCGCACACGCTCCCATTCGTCGGCGTCCTTCCTCAAACGCAAGGCTGAGAACCAACGCCGTATTCTAGGCGTGCTCTGACCAGGGCAGAACAGAAGCAATCACGTTTCTGCCCAGCGTGCAGGACAAACAGGGGAGTGGAGACACTTTTTTGCACACCAATGCAACAGCGCTTTTTGCCAGAGCCCGTGAGAGAGAGATGCCCAGGGCTGCTGCAGGAGGCCGGGGAGAGGGGAATGGAACTCCCAAGGCTGCCAGGGGCTTTTAGGACCCCTCCCCGCCGCCGCTGGCCCCCTCACCGGTTGCTTCCGCCTTGAGCGTCCTCCAGCTCTTTCTGCAGCCTGGCAGTCTTCTCCTCCTCCTCCAGCAGGCGCCGCTTGACGGTGCGCAGCTCTTGCTGTACCTCGCATTTGATGTCGTTGGCCACCACCACGGCGGTCTGCAGGTCGGCTTGGAAGCGGCGCCACTCCTCCGTGTCTTCCTACAGCGAGGGACGGAGGAGTTAGGTTTGGGATTGGCTAGCGTTTGGGGAATGAAAGTGGCAAAGGGGCACCCCGCCCCGGCTGCTCTGCTCACCTCGCGCATTGAGGCACCATGAGAAATCCCTCCCTGCCCTCCTGCCTCCAAAAATACCCCATTTCTGGGATGTTGCGCAGCAGGTGTGTGGCTCTCGGTGCGTGTGTGTATGTATCTTGGAGCTGGGAGCGCGCAAAATGGTGGGGCGCCTGAGCATCGAGGGGTTTAAAAAGAAACAGACGCGAGGGGAAGGCGGCGAGGCTGAGGTCCGGTCCGTCTGTCATAATGCTAATAAAATTGCTGCCAAAGTTTCCAGCCGCTCTTCCATTTGAGGGACCAAACCTGGCTGCTGTTTTGAAACGGTCCTGCCGTTGCTTGTCATGTTTACAACGGCTGGACGTCCAGCTCTTGGCCCTTTGCGATCCTGGAGGAACTGACCAGCAAGGAGAAAAATCGAGACTGCCACCCATTTCCCTCCTCCCCAGCCACTGCCTCACCGGTGTGACCACCGGCTGCTGCAGGGACAGGCGAGCTGGCCTGCCCCAGCAACGGGCCCTTCAGCTTCCACACACCACACACCACCCCCAGCCACGAGCAATTCAGCTGCAAGAATAAAGGGGCCTCCACTGTAGACTCTGGCTAACATTGAAGTGTTTAAAACAGGGGGCTGAATGTTTCTGGGCCACAGACCCCTTTGACAGTCTGATGAAGGCTACAGACCCCTTTTCAGAAAAAATGTATTTAAATGCATAAAATAAAATGCAGCGCTATAGGTTGGGTTACAAAGGAAACCAATGGTACGCCAACGTCTTTGGAGTTTACAGGCCATATGTGACTTTGTGGCTTACGTGCATTATTGAAAGAAAAGCTAAGTGTCAGAGGTTGATGAAAATGAAGTTGTAATGGTTTTCACAGGGCCTCCCTGAAATCTCCCTCTGTACTCCCAAGGGGTCTAAGGACCCCCACGTTAAGAGCCTCTGTTTTAAAAACATTCCAGTTAGATCCTATTCCCTTTTCTTTGGGTGCCAAATGCATTGTATTATTACTGTTGGTCGCACAGCCAGCCAGATGTTTAGACTGGGTTTGGCATTTCTATCCGCCTATCGAGTCCTTCGCAAGGACCTGGGATAGGCAGATGTTGTCTAACAATATTAAAGGTATCGTCACAGGATATAAGCTGTTCCAAGTCAAGCTGCCATTTGCAATGGACGGATGGTGATTTTTGTCAATGCCGATGGTCTTCCAGGGGTGCTCCAGATGTTTTGGGATGGCACCCGAGGCGCCTATTACTACTGGGACTACCTTTGCTTCCTTTTGCCGCAGGTCGTTCTACTTCTATTCGCAGGTCTTTCTGTCTTGTGAGTTTCTCCAGGTCCTTCTCTTCTCTTCTCTTCTCTTCTCTTCTCTTCTCTTCTCTTCTCTTCTCTTCTCTTCTCTTCTCTTCTCTTCT